CCCCCATTACTTTCTAAGCATTAATCAAGCCCCCTCTTTCCCACAGGTGTCTTCAGCTTCAGGAAGTAACCTCTTGGGCTCAGTGCCCCCCTCCCTCCCCCTGGGTTTCGGGATGCTCGGGGGTCTAGTGCCTGTTTCTCTACCCTTCCAGTTCCCCTCGCTCCTCAACTTCAACCCTCCAGGCCCTGGGGTTCCTGGCTGCAGCAACATGGGAGCTTCCCCTGCTACCAACTCAGGATACACCCTGGCACAGAGTGAGTGTGGGTACATGACTTGTTTGCTGTGCTGGGGTTTTGCTTGTATGCTCACGTGTATCGTGTTTGGCTGTCTTTATGTAGCGTGGCTTGTCTGAGTCTTTTTCCGTGTCTCCCTAATCTGTTTTTTTCAATTTTCTTCCTCTTTCTCCACTTTTCATCCTGTTTTGGTGCTGCATTCCTGCCATCTCATTTGCTCCTGGATTGCTGTGCACTCTTCCATCTCTTCCCTCTGTCCATCTTTCTTTCCACCTGTCCTGCCGTCCCCCAGATCTGTTTAAGAGTCTTCAGCCAGGGTCTCAGGTCGCTCTACCTCCCCACTTGCAGCTTGCTTTCTCAGGTAAACGCTGCAGAAACCTCCAGCTCACTGCTGCTGTCTCGTAGTTTTAGGTTGTTGACCGTTCCTTTACTTCCTCTGCTTGTTTCAATCCTTTTTTTGTGTTTCATTAGTGTGGCATTAGCTCTGTTCCAAAACCTAGTCTGTCTGCGTAGGCAGCTACCTTCTCAGGGAGCATCCTAACTGAAGTGGAACCTCATGTGATGTCAAGTGATTGATTTGAACACTTCTTCATGGGTCGCAACTCGGTTGCCGTTAGATGTGGCATGTTCAGGCCGCTTCTCTTGAGGAACTCTACTAGACCTGGGTATTGGCAGATTTCACAATTCAATTTTGATTCAATTCGTTTGGAAATACTTCAGGTGCAGTAACCTATAGATTTTTCGTAATGAAATAAATCTCTCAACTAATTCTGTCAACTATACAGGGAACCCTGGTACATTAATATTAACTAAAGGGCGGAACACACCAAGCCGACTTCAAAGAATTAGCGAGGACATAAGCCCACGGTGTTGTCGTATTGCGTCTGCTAGGGCTGCACAATTAATCGAAAATTAAATCGCAAAGGCGATAAATTGCGATTAGGCAGAAGCTGCGATTGTCATGCGTATCTTTCAGTGAAGCACTGTTCTGTGATCAGCAGTAAATCTCCATCCGAAGGCCAGAGGGCGCTCTCGCGCTGAAACTCCAAATACTCACCGCAGAAGAAACCCAGGAAATCCCTATAGCGGTTGCTGAATAAACAGAAGATTTAACTGCTTTGATTAATTCAGTGTGACTAATAAACACACGACTAGACAATATATGGTTTATCTGAGTTAGTCTCATTATAATTTTTACTATAATAAAGCATATAATAATGCAATGCTAATCGACATAGCCTTTATCACTGCTTAGAATACTATGAAATGTTGTAGGGCTGTCAAAAAAAAAAATCGAATTTCGAATATTCGTCGAATTAAAAAAAAAAAATCCACATTCGAATGCAAAAACGTGAACCAACTAGATGCGGCGCTGCTATGTTGTTCATTCAATATATTGTGGAAAACGAGAGCATCAGTGTGGAGAAGATGTTGTTTACGTCAAAAACTGAAACCAAGTCGTTCACACAGAACGCATATTTATCACATTTTCTAGAGGGACATCTATCAGCGTTGCACTCGCACAAGAGAGCGGCATGTTTAGAAAGCCATGTAAAATTAATGTAAGTTCAACTTTTAAAAAACATGTCTAAAGACGTTATGGCGGTTTTCCCCCATCCCACTGTATCTCATGTTTTTAAATGAAGAAAGTACTCTTTGTGATTGGTTTTCGGTCCTTTGTATTAAACTATACATAGATGCATGGTGCTGTTTTTTTTCTTCTAAGTGTTTAAGTAACTTTATTAATTATATATGGTTTATAAACATTATTTTAAACATTATGCACTTTTTTTCCCCAAAGATAGTCGTGTTATTTTATTACGCTTTGAAGAAACGTGCATAATATTTTGCGCAATGCACCCTCTTGTGGCCTCAGGAGAGAAGCCAAAAGCTTTTTTCCCCCTAACTGAAATTGTCTTTTAAATTCGAATATAATTCGAATTTTGATAATATTTAAGTAGAAAATTCGAATTTAGTTTTTCAGTCATTTTGACAGCCCTAATAAAAGCTTTTTTCCCCCTAACTGAAATTGTCTTTTAAATTCGAATATAATTCGAATTTTGATTATATTTAAGTAGAAAATTCGAATTTAGTTAAGTCATTTTGACAGCTCTAAAATGTTGCGTGCCTTATTCTGTGTAAGAAGCCACATTATCTCACAGAAGTATTTATTTCAAACACTCGACTGACATTATGAAGTGAGTTTGGAGTAAAAACATGTTATTAAATGTGGTATTTTCACGTGCTTTCAGATGGAGCAGCATTTACTTCACAGAGCCGTAGTTCACTGACAAGCTACGCTTGTAGCTTCCATAATCACAGAATGATTTCTTCGATTTCATAATCGCGCGATTATGAACGCGATTTTGCGTAGCTTGTCAGTGAACTACGGCTCTGTAGTAAATGCTGCTCCGTCTGAAAGCTTGTGATGGAGATTTACTACTAATCACAGAACCGGCTTTACTGACAAGATGCACATGACAATCGCATTCGATTAATCGTGCAGCCCTAGTGTCGGCTCTCCACATCTGCTATTCACTGCTCTTGAAGTTAACCCAACTATGGGTTAATTCCAAACTTATAACACAGTGAAATAAGTATTTTTATTAAAAGCAAACCAATTTATGTCATATTTTCCGTATCAAACAAAACGCATATATAAATGATTGACCTTGATTATCCCGCCTCAGTTCTCAAGCTTGTCACAGTGTATCCACACTAGACTAGAGGCCAAACGAGGTATTTTCTAAAGCATGCTTGTGGTTTGGAACCGCCTTTGCGTTGGCACATGTTGCTCACTGGGTTTTGGAACAGATCATTTGTTCTATCATTTGAAATGCAGATTTCGTGAAATCTTGTAACCGCACCGTGACGGCAGAGTTTGTCTGGATTTTCCACAGATGCAAACCAAAGTCAGGGGGGAGACACGAAGAGGAAGTCCCACTGACCGCCACAACCAGAATGTACAAGTGGACACCGCTGGCGACGGATGTTTTCAGCTGCTTGGATGAACACCTGCTGCGCTTTCTTTCATTAACGACCCTTCTTCAATTAACGTCATTCTGCTTTTAATCGATCAGTGTTCTGGACGATTGGAGTGAGCCGGGTGCATTTGCATTTTTGTTGTTTGTCAACATGTTTACACAAGACCTTAATCACTGTGGACATAGAGCTAGAGGAAGTGAGGAGTACGAAACAAAGCAACATTATTTCTATTTAAGTTCATGTCGGCTGGAAACGTGCATTCCTGTGGTTATTTTCTTTCCTAAACGGATGGGATAGTCCAACCGTTTCCTTCTAAGACTGTTAGAATAGTAGCTGTTAATAATACATATGGGTAAATAATTTATAATTTTTCGACAGGGACATATTATGATGTTTAAGTGTATTAGTAGAATAAAATGGGTATGTATATAAAATATACATTAAGTGATATATTTTCTTTGGAGGTCAGTACGTGTGATGTTCCTCTCATCTGTGCGTGCAGATGTCTTGCTGTCTTTGGTGCTGCGTATCTCACTGGACCTTGTGAAAGAAAAAAGAAAAAAAAAACTCTTTTACGGATGAATGAATCATGTGCGAAAGCTTTTCTTAGAGGAAAATTATGAGATTGTAGCCTACTTGAACTTTGTTTAGTTTTGCTTAATATCAGTACAAGAACTCCCAAGACTGTCAATAAAACGCCTTAGTTTGTAAGTTTGAATAACTATGCAGGACTGTAAATGCTTCAATGCAAAGTAAGCTATTGCTTAGAGCTCCACTTTTGACATTAGTTGTGTTTGTGTGTGTTTGATGGGTCTGCCCTGTTACCTCACTGGACCGTTAATTCTTCCTTCCATGTCTCCGTTCCATTTCATCCTTTGCAACCACCTGTTCATTTCAAAATGTCTGGCACTGCTCACCTGCATCTTATGACTGTGTTCAAATGAGAATTGGCACCAAAGATGACAGCGTTCGCTCAAGAGTTGACAAGCAACAGGTCAGGTGTCTGTGTGCTCAGTGTAACATCTTAAATGTGTGGTCTCTGTGGATATTGTGATGGACTGACTTTTAAAATCCAATTTTATATATTGCTTTATTTTATTTTCTAAAAATGCTGAAGTGGATGGGCGTAATTTTAACTGATGCCCACCTTGAAAATTCTTATTTGGGTAGATTATTTTTGTCTTGATTCTGGAATTCAAATGCTGTCATTTTTGTTTCAAGTACAAGCTCTAAAAATTAATTCAATAAAAAACATTGGTGGATATGGTTGTAGTAAAGTTACTGGCATAACTGAGGGACTGTAGCTCACCCAAAAATGAAAATTCTGTTATTAATTACTCACCCTCTTGTTCCAAACCCGCAAAACTTTTGTTCATCTTCGGAACACAAATTAAGATATTTTTGATGAAATATATATAATATAAATTGTGCACACATAGTTATATGTGGGAAAAATACACACATTGCACATGTATTTAGTGTGGGTTTAGTGTTAACGAGAGCGACAAATACATAATTGCAAGCTATAGAAAAAATACCTATGCATTTATATACACATATGAACATTATATTGTTTTTCATTAATATGTAATTGTGCAGTATGTACACGTCTATCCACACACAGATAGACAGACAATTTATTTATAAACTCATATATTCTGTCTATACCAAGCATTAAACTAACTCAGGTCGACCACTATTATTAAAGCATAATGAACACTCGTCATTCCTTTTTATTTCAATAAGAAATAAAAGCAACTTCAGAAACAGGAGAAAGCATGCTTCTTCTACAATGAATGTTTTATTTTTTCCTTTACAAAACTCACTGTCATCTAGAAATAGTTACAGTATACAAGAGAAAAACAAGAGGAGAGCCATTTGCAGTTGAGCGCCTGGTTGTCAACAGCCAGTCCAATAATAGAAGTGATATAGCAATAATAATGATAACTGCAATAATAGTAACTAGATCATGGATGATAAAGCTTTAAACCAAATGAAATCACGCTTGCTCCTCGCCGCCAGAGGCAGAGGCTTCTTTATATCAAACCAACATTAACACTGATTTCCCTCAGATCTTCATCAGAATACGAGGGATACGAGACCTATATACTGGATATGATTCTTAGCAAAACAAAAACGGGTTACATAGCATTTTATTTCAATTGCCTTCAGCCAGTTTTGCCTTCATATTAGCGTTTCTTCATTACTGATACAAGACATACTTCCATGGATGCTTTCTAATTAGTGTCTAAGGCACTTTAAGAAACACGTCATTAAATGCTAACAGTGGAACAGGTTAGTACGCTTTCCGTTCATGCTCTTAATACTACTAGTGTTCAAAGCATCCCGTCCACAGCTATACTCGCCACCAAAGTGCCTGTGAAATAACCTGTTCAATATTTCCAGTTGCTTTCAGTGCCGATTTCTCATTGATGTCTGGACCGTTTCAAACATCTTCCTAGAAGTTCCAATAAACTTTCCTTTTGTTTTCACTTGTAGTGTATCTAATAGAGCAGCTGGGTTTGAGAAGTACCATCATACTGTCACGTATACGGGAAAAAAAATCTTAAAGAGATTACATATGTATGCTTCATCTTGACGTGCATTTGCATCCAGAATACTTCATATTTCCAGTTGAAATGGCCTTTTATGGCTTTCTTACAATGTGCAGTTAAAGGCGATTCGTGATTACATCCCAATTCCTAAAACACAAACCGCCTCCGTCAGCTAAATCTCCCAAACAAGATCAAACAGGCCTAGAGTTGAATGAAGATAAACGCGCAGGATTTCTTGCGTTTTAACTATTTAATGTGTTTAAATGTTAATGAGATGCTGAAGCGAGCAGCTTTTTCACAGTTTTTTCTTTTCTGGTCCGTTTCAGATCCGGTCCAGTGCAACAGGACTTTTTTTCTTTTTCTTTTAGTGTTGGCTTGTAGCGGACGAGCAGCACATGCATCTCTATCGACCCTAAATCTGCAGACCGTGTTTATTTGGAGAACTGTACTGTACAACTAAGATCCAATCCGTCACGTTTGCTTAGCTAGCTGATGGTTTTACATCATTAAACTAGATTGGAGTGAACACTTTCACTGCACGCTCTTATGAATGAGCATATTCATGTACGCAAAGCAAAGTTTGAGATTTGAAATGCACTTCTATAGTGTGTTCTGTCGTGAGCGCGGTATTTTGTAGGCTACAGTTGCGGGAAACACTAATTGGCTCGGTCTTGAAGCATCTTGGATTTAGAATAAGGCAGAGTTGACGCTCCCTTGGTAGGGAGGGGATAGAAATGGAGGTTTGAGGGTTTCTTATGTCTGAACGTGTGTGTGTGTGTGTGTGTGGAAGTGTTAGTGTAGTTGTTTACACATCGCTCACTGGTCCTCTTTCTGTACCGCGGACCCCACATAGCTAAAGGAGAAGAATGAGGTGCTGGAGGAAGCAGTGGGGCTGGGTGACCACAGGAGGGCGCTGTGCTCTACTCCGCTTGAGCCGGCGGGTTCTCGTTCAGGTCGCTGGCCTTGCTGTCCGCGTCGTCGTCAGAAAACTCCCCTTCCATCTGCAGCTGCCTGCGGCCAGAACGGCTTGAGGAGAAGCTAACAGAACCTCCTCGCCTGCAGGAGACCGTAAATAAGGTATTAGAGCGCATTACCCAGCACTCTATATACGATTATAGTATTCATATTTTGAATTCTCTTTTATTTTTTTAGCTTTCATTTTAATTTGAGTAATTTTGGTATAGTTCATTTTTTTTTTTTTTTTTTAAATACTTATAAAATTACTAAACTCATTGTGATAAATTGGTGCTTTAGTCATTTTTATTAGTTTAAAAAATATATATATATTTTATGTGCGTCTGTAATGTTTTTATATATGTATTTAGCATTAATTTTATTTCAGTTTTAGTAATTTGTTATATGTTTTTTTATCATTCTATTTGTGACCCTGGACCACAAAAGCAGTCTTAAGTCGCTGGGGTATATTTGTAGCAAAACCCAAAAAAACATTGTATGGGTCAAAATTATTGATTTTTCTTTTATGCCAAAAATCATTAGGATATTAAGTAAAGATCATGTTCCATGAAGATATTTTGTAAATTTCCTACTGTAAATATATTAAAACTTAATTTTTGATTAGTAATATGCATTGCTAAGAACTTCATTTGGGCAACTTTAAAGGCCATTTTCTCAATATTTAGATTTTTTTGCACCCTCAGATTCCAAATATTGTCCTATCCTAACAATTTTTTTATAATTTTTATTCATTTTTAAAGCTATTTCTATTTTGCATGTATTTATTTTATTTTGCATTAGTAATTTTATGTGCATTTGTCAAATTGTTTTTATATTTGTATTTAGCATTCATTTATTTTTATTTCAGCTTTAATAATTTGTTAGGTGCTTTTATCATTTTTAAGTTTTATTACAACATATTTAACATGAACTCTTTCCCCGCCATTGACGAGATATCTTGTCAATTAAGAGAGAACGCTTCTCCGCCAAAGACGAGTTTTTACAGCAATCCGTGTTCTAGGTGAATTACAGTAAGGAAAGCCCTAGCGCATGCCCAGAATTAGTTATTTTAATTTTAGTTATATAACACACACATATATATATATATATATATATATGTGTGTGTGTGTGTGTGTTCCTATCCTAACAATTTTTTTATAATTTTTATTCATTTTTAAAGCTATTTCTATTTTGCATGTATTTATTTTATTTTGCATTAGTAATTTTATGTGCATTTGTCAAATTGTTTTTATATTTGTATTTAGCATTCATTTATTTTTATTTCAGCTTTAATAATTTGTTAGGTGCTTTTATCATTTTTAAGTTTTATTACAACATATTTAACATGAACTCTTTCCCCGCCATTGACGAGATATCTTGTCAATTAAGAGAGAACGCTTCTCCGCCAAAGACGAGTTTTTACAGCAATCCGTGTTCTAGGTGAATTACAGTAAGGAAAGCCCTAGCACATGCCCAGAATTAGTTATTTTAATTTTAGTTATATAACACACACACACATATATATATATATATATATATGTGTGTGTGTGTGTGTGTGTCTGTTTGTTCTGTTTATTGAATGCCATTTACATTTTTCATATAATTATTTACAGGTGAAAGAATATGACATCTGAATGTATTTTGCTTGAAAATGCACTGCACTAAAATGCATTTTTCTATGTTTTTTGTCCAAAATGTTGTATGTCTGATGAAACCTATCTGCATTCAAGTGGTGATAAAACATGAACACATGAAGATAGAATAAAATTGTGTTTTTGTTTAAAAGCAGAGGCTCAGTTCTTTATTTTGATATATAATATGTTCATATATTCATAGCAGAAAATATTCTGAGGGCCGTCAAATTTAAGTGAAAATCATCAAAAATGCTGGCGGTGGCTGGCAACTTAAAAAAAATAATAAAATGCTGGCGGTGAAAGTTAATATATTTTAATTGTAGTTTTCGCAATTTTGTTGTGTGCTTATTTACATTAGGTTTTTATTTTTTTTTATATATAATATTTTTAATATAATATTTCTAGTTAGCATTAATAGTACTTTAAGTACTTTAACTTAAATGAAAATTAGAAATGTAAAAATAAATATTTTAATATAATATTTATATTTAATTTAATTTCAGCCTTATTTCAATTTCTGAAAATTATTTTTAATAGCTTTAGGTTTTGTTATCAATAACAACACTGACAACCAACAAATGTACAAACTCCGCTATTTCTGAAAATGGCAGTGAATATCAGCACTGCGTCATTATTAAACAGTAGATAGGACATGATATGAATGCACAAATAAACAGGGTCAGATATTGATACAAGGATCTAAAGTATTGCAATATATCAGTATCAATATGTACCTGAGGCGGTTTTTGAGCGTGCTGACCTCTCGGCTCAGACCCTCACTAGCTTCGGTGGCATCGTCCAGCTCTCTCTGCAGCTTCCTGCGGGAGGCGTTCGCTCGAGTCGCCTCTTCCTCAGCCTCCTCCAGCTGCCTCTTCAACTGCTTCATGCGGGAGTTTGCCTTCTCCATCTAAAGACAGACAGAAATTCTGAGTCTCAGGTTTCTCTCTTATGAGAGAAAAGCAACTAACTACAATTTATTGTGCATTATGTTTAGAGCTGTAAATCTGAAATTTGGTTCGCAATTTATTTGAGGTATAACATGTAATAATTGAGCAGCACATCAGCATATAAGAATGACTTCTGAAGGATCATCTGACACTGAAGATTGAAGTAACGATGCTACAAATTTAGTTTTGCCATCACAAGAATAAATTACGTTTTAAAATACAGTACATTCAAATAGTAAACAGTTGTAATAATATTTCACAATATAACTGTTTTTACTGTATTTTTGATCAAATAAATGCTGCCTTGTGACAAGTTTATCCACAAAATCTGTCCAGCACCTTGGTAGCATAGTTTTGGAAAAAACTTGTAGAAACCCTTTTTTACACAAAGTTGCCTCAAGACTTACTTTCTTTACTTGAAAGCACATGATATATATATATATATCGTGTGTGTGTGTGTGTGTGTGTGTGTGTGTGAATATATAGTGAATAAATGACGAATCTTAAAGGATCATCTTCATCTCCAAATGGCTTGTAATCCTCAAAAATGATAATTCCACCCACCTGTTTGACCAGTGCCCTCTTCTTCTCCTCATTCTGCTCATCTCTGGCCTGCAGGTCTCGGTCAAACTGGGCCTTCATGGCCTGCATGTTGACCTCCAGACGCAGCTTGGCATCCTCTGTGGCCTGTAGCTCGTCCTCCAGCTCCTCCAACTGAGTGCGCATCTCCTCTACCTGCTGCTCCAGAGTGCGCTTGGATTTCTCCAGCTCGTGCACCTACAGATTATAGAACGTAAAAAAAAAATTACAGTGAGATACCATAAATCCAGGATCCAGGACTTCTCTACTCATCAATATTTACTCCACATTTCTACAATCATTTTTTAAAGACTGCAGAGGAAGATTTCCATTTTTCATACATTTTCACGTTTTCCAAACCACTTTCTACATTACATTTTTATGATATCTCTAGACCTGGAAATCACAATTTTAAAATTCCGTGACTCTTTTTTTATTTTATTTTTTGCTTCTATGTTTGCCACGGCACTCTGAGTAGATCCAAACAGTGAAATTTCATCAGTCCAAAATCTTGCTTCAAATGCTGCACATTAAACATGCATATGTTGTGACTGGCTGATTTTGTCACTTTGCTAAGTGTTCTGTTGTCAGTGATGACAGGCAAATTACTTGCCACCTGAAACTTGTTGCATCACACTTTATCATCACATGATGTAGGGTGTCAGCACATTATGAGGTCTCAAAACAAAAACAGCCAACAAAATCTGCCGTTTACAAAACACCAAAGGTTCTTTAAACATCATGATGATGAATCCAAACATAACCACATATGTAATATAACAGCACAAATGTCCAGTAACATACTGACTTACATTCTTGCCTACGTCATCCTTGGAACTCATCAGATCCTCCATCTCAGCTCTGAGCTGCTTGTTGAGTCTCTCAAATTCCTCTTTAGCCTCCAGAGCTTCATCCAGGGCTCGGGCCATAGACAGAGCTTTGGTCTCCTTCTCTCTCGCCTCGGCCTCAGCACGGTCCCTCTCCTCAGCGTAACGTGCAGAGATGGTCTTCTCCTCCGCCAGCATCTGACATACACATCAACAAATGCTTTTGTAAGATTTTTTCATAATTATTAACAAATGTTTTTCATTAGAATTGAATGATAATAAAAAAATAAAATTACAATTTAGCATTATACATAAAAAAAAAATTCACTTAATTTAAATGTTGAAAATCAGTTGGTAAGCCTCATATTGTTGTTCATCTTTCAAATACAAATTAAGATATTTTAAATGAAACCTGTAAGATTTCTGTCCATCCATTGAAAGTACATTCCACTAAAACTTCAAAAAGTTCATTAAGACATCATAAAAGTTGGTTCTCACACATCAAGCAAGCATGCTTGAGCTTCAGTTTCCCACATTTGATGAACTCTATATATGTGCATTGATCAGTTTATTGTGAAACTAAAAACCTAAATTAAATCTGTTCATCATATAAAGCAATTGTGTCTTTTTCAGAAGTCTTGGATTAAATTAAGCTTTAAAACTTCAAATTAAATGTCAAGTTTTGGTGAATGGACTTTCAATAGAAGGACAGAGCTTCATATCTTCATTTATTTTTCGAAGAGGTGTGATAAGTCCTATGGTTTTGGAATGACATGAGGGAGATTAAAAGACAGAAATTTCACTTTTGGGTGAAATGTTGTTTAGCCAAAACAGTTCATACCTGGTCAAACTTCTTCTGTTTCTTCTCCAGGTTTGAGACGATCTGTCTCTGGTGGTCCAGGTCCACCATAAGGTCATCAAGCTCCTGCTGCAGCCTGTTCTTGGTTTTCTCCAGCTTGTCGTAAGCGATGGCCTTTTCCTCCAGTTTCTGACTGGTCCCCTCCATGTCCTTCTGCAGTTTCCTCTTGACCTCCTCAAGGCCTTCAAGAGCTCCCACATCATCCTCCAGCTTTTTCTTGGTCTCCACCAGCTATCCAAGAAAGGAGGATTACAGAGGAGTGCTTTTACTTTCAAATGTTTGAGTAGTAAATAGTACATCCGATTCCCTTTCTGAACAGAAATCTGAAAATTACACTTTTACATAACCCACTTTTGGTCAAATATGACAGGCTTTTGTGAGGTTCTAGCCAACATGTCACTGGTAGAGTAAAACATCATTATTGAATGTGTCAACTGATGTGCAAGATGTTGATATAATCTGACTTGCCGTCTGCCCTAATAAAAGAATATGGAGTGATTGCGCATACTTGGGATTGTAGTGTTGCCAGTTGTCTCTCCAGGTTCCTTCGCGCCTCCTCTTCCTCCTCCTGCTGCTCCTGAAGGCTGTTCTTCTCCTCCTCCAGTTGACGGATACGGCTGCTCAGGTTCAGCTTCTGACGCGTCTCCTCTTGAAGCAGCTCCTATATCCACAATATTAATCAATCATGACTCAATCACATCACATCACACACACCTTTTCTGTAAAAAGTCTATCTATTGTTTTTATTAATTATCTATTGTTTTATTATTCTATGTCATTGCTTCATCCACTCTTGCAGGGCTTCCTGTTTGCAGAGACACATTACCTGAGTGTCCTGAAGCTGGCTCTCTAGGCTGGAGGCATCTTTGGCCAGCTTAATTCCCTTCTTCTCAGCATCTTCCAATAGAGCAGAAACATTGTCCAGTTCCGCCTGCAACAAATGATAAATAAATCAATCAATTTACAGTGGAGAGATATTTCACAAATACCCTCGATTCTGATCTATTTAAGGTTGCTTTCACACTTGGCTTGACAGCCTGGTCCGAACCGAATAATTACAATTAATTTTAATAATTGCAGATTTAATGATTGCAGGTCTCATATGAAACTCTGAGTCAGAATTTAACAGAACAGTTTAATTCCGTGTAGTAAATAAATGTTTGTTTTAAAATTGTGCATTTAAAAAAAAAGCTTCAGGTCTGCTGTGATTATTTGTAGGGCTGCACAATGTTGTGATTATATACCAATATGACTATAAAATCATATATGAAACTGGTTATTATATAATAATGTAATAGTACACACGCTAATATTTAATTACTGCAATTTGCAATTTATTTAATAATAATTACAATTAATTATAAAAATTGCCAATTTAATGATTGCAATTTGATAAATTCACATCAAGCCATAATCGTGATTAGGGTTTTATTTTGATTAACCGTGCAGCCCTTATTACAGCCACACTTTCAGTCTGCAAAAAAACAGTGGAAAACAAGAGTTATCTGTAGTGTGTGAGGAAGGACGGAGTGTAACAGTATTTCATGAAACTGGGAGTAACAGAAATGATTCTGATATGAAGTGTAACAGAACTCGCTTGTAGTTTATGTGACACAGTCTAACAGCACTGACCTGTAGTTTGTGGGAACGGTCTGAAAGTTCTCCTTTAACCTTCTCTCCCTCGCTGAAGCGGGCCATGAACTCCTGCAGCTGAGCCTCAAGTTTCTTTCTCTTGTGCTCAGATTCAGACTTGGCTTGCTGCAAACTCTTCACATCATTGGTCAGCTCCTTATTATCACTCTCCAGAGTCTGTTTGTTTTTCTCCAGATTTGACTTCACCTAATGTTGACAGACAGACAGTGTGAGAGAGAGACAGATTTTGCCTGAACTGGACTCAACAGGAGACCATACCATATTCAATCACTGAATGAGGAAATTAATTCCAAACACATCATTCTGACAGCAGACTGGCAGTGTTCCAGTCGAGACATTAGAATTGAAATCCCTCACTACAGTAATGAGTCATTTACTCTTCATCTCTCTGGCTTACTCTCTTGGCCTGCTCCAGCTGCTCAGAGATCTCCTCCAGAGATGTGCCGTGCCTCTGTCTCATCTCCTGGATCTGAGACTCATGGTTTTTTATCTCATCATCGATGGCCTTCTTCAGCTCTGCCACCTCCTGCTCTCGTTTGGTCCTTCATGAGCAAAAGACACATGATTAGGCAAGACACATTTGAGGAGAAAGGGTGAGATTTCAATTAACTTAATCTGGCTTAAATGGCTCTCCAATTACATTACCAAAAGACTCATTTGAACTAGTCAAGCGTAGAAAAATGTTGGCACCAAGGTTTTAGCATAGTTTTGATATTTCTTCTTTTTTTTCACCTAAAAACTAAAATTCTGTCCTCATTTACTCATCCTCCACACGTTCCAATCCTGTACAAGTTTCTTTCTTCTGCTGAGCACAAAAGAAGATATTTTAAAGAATGCTGGTAACCAAACAGATTTCCATAGTATGGAAAAAAATACTATGGAAGTCAATGGCTACCAACATTCTTTAAAAGGTTTGAAACAAGTGAAATAACAGAATTTTCATTTTTGGGTGAATTATGCCTTTAAAAATCAGTTCCATTTTGTGGTCATGATAAATTTAGTTCCTGATGCAGACTCTTGTACCTCAGCTCCTGCTGGGCAGCAGTGGTGTCCAGGGTGTCTTCCAGCTCAGTCTTCAGAGCCTCCAGTTCCTCACTCAGATCTCTCTTAAGTTTCTCAGCTTTGTTTCTGGCTGCTTTCTCAGACTCCAGATCCTCCTGGAGCTCAGCTAGCTGGGCCTGCAGCTCCCGCACTTGCTTCAGAGCGTTGTTCTTCTGAGCGACCTCCTCATCACCTCTGGGGAACAACAAGGATAAGCAAAGATTATTAACAAAACCATGCATGCTAAATTAAAGGAGTTATATTCTACACTTTGTTTATAAACTCTTTCTAATCCTGATTAATTAAATAGTTCTGAAATGAATACGAATACTTTTATTCAGCAAGAACACATTAAATTGGTCACATGTAACAAAGAGTTTTATAATGTCACAAAAGATTTCTAGGTGACAATTTATTTTAAGGTGTCCTTGTTACACGTTACATGTACTTACCATTATAATAACAATTAATTATGCATAATTACATGCAAGTAACCCAAAGCCAAACCCTAATCCTAACCCTAACCGTATAGTAAGTACATGTAGTTAATTAATATTACTCCGTACTTAAATGTATAAATACACTGTAACAAGGACACCTTAAAATAAAGTGTAACCGATTTCTATTTCAAATAATCCCTTCTTTTAAATTGTAATTATATTTCTCAACATTTAAAACATTATCACTGTATTTTCGCCTTGGTAAACATAACAGATTTAAAATAAAATAATACAGACTGAACGCCCCTGTTATATATATAACATGAGAAAGCATGTTTTTGTGTGTATTCATGATGTGATGTCGCAACAGCAATGTGATACCAATTTACTAAATTATTTCAGGACTGCACAATGTTAACAAACACAAAGGTCAAGAATAAAAACTTTCCATGACTAATATTCCAATTTATATGATGCCAACATAACTCGGCCTACCATAAGTTATTGTTTTGACATGGTCAGCTAGACGACAGCCAAACTATTTTGTTATTCTGTGTTCCTCAATGACTAGATCTTCACCTGGCCAGTACAGCCTGTAGCTCTTCTTCTTTCTTGGCCAGTTGGATCTTGAGTTCCTCAATCTGGGCCTGCAGCTCAGCTATCTGGTCCTGTAGGTCTGTGGTCTCAGCATCCAGCTTTCTTTTGGCTTTCTCAAGCTCCTGCCTAGTTTTCTCCTCTTTCTTCAGACGCTCTGAGGGTCAAACACGCACACATAAACATGTTAGACTCACTGCTTTACATTCACTTAAATAAAATGACCCATATTCAACCCAGTCCTCACCTTCCAGGTCTACCATCATCACATCTTGCTTGTTTTTGACTTTGCCAAGGTTCTTGGCCTTCTCTTCTTCCTCAGCCAGCTGGGAGGTCATCTCACTGACACGGTCCTCCAGGAGTTTTTTCTCCTGAGGGATAGAGAGGAAAGGAAGAGTTCAGTTTGCTCCTGCAAAGTTCTTCTCAGAGCATTCCTACAACAAAAGCCATGGGTTGCATTTTGATTAGGCAGTCTGACATCTGCACTGACCTTTAGGAATTTGGAGTTCTGGTCCTCCAACAGCAGAATATCTTCCTCCATCTTTTTTATCTTGGCTTCAGCAGTCACCTTCTCCAACTGAAGCTTCTGTCGGGCAGCCTCTTCTTCATCTAGTTGTTCCTCTAGATCCTGAAGTCATGCACACACACACACACACACACTCTTGTGTGGGAGTGTAGGACTTTGTGAGCCTTTTTAGCTAAGTACTTGCTCAATTCATTATTCAAACCCAGAAGTTTTAAATACAGATTTACTCTCTCAGAGCCGAGAGGCCCATTTTAAAATTTACAGCAGATCAAGGACTATATTTCCACAGTGAAGTCCTCACCTGTATGTGCGACTGCGTTTTCTTCTTCTCATTCTGCAAAGACTGGTTCCTCTCCTCTTCCTCCTCCACACGGGACTCCAGGTCATGAAGAATCTCCTCCAGCTCTTGTTTTTTAGCCACCAGGCGAGCCCTCATCTCTTCAGCTTCAGCAAACAATTCTGTCTCAGCCTGCAGTTGCTCTGCCAAGATGTTCTTCTCCTCCAAAAGCTGAAACAAACATCAAACCAGATCTTCTCTCCGTTTCTACAAAATGTTTAGTCACTATGATTTAACACTAACACTGCAGAATATCCACTACATTGAATAAAGCCACAAGAGATCACAGTGATTTTAGAAAGCAACATAATTCAAGTGTGCCCATTAACATATATCAGATACGTAACAGTGTCTTTAAATGTGGCTCATTCCATCGGTTATTAGGTCAAACACTAACACTTAAATAACACTGTGTATTTTCAGAAGACAGAGGGAGCAGGTGAGTGTGTGCTAACCTGCTGGTGTTTCCGCTCCATTTCCACCAGTTCGTTCTCTACTTTCACCTGCTTCTCCTTCACTTTAATGAGCTCCTCATCCTTGGCCTGCATTTCTTCCTCCTGACGGGTCACCTGGAGGAGGGGTTTCACCTGCAGACACACATGTAATGCATGTCTCAAATGAAAACTATCTGCAACAATACTGCAAACGAGTTTTTAAAGATTCAATTTCTCTTGCAAACACATACATTACTTTTAGACAAGTATGCAAAACCTGGTCAAATCATTAAAACGGTCTCTTTCAAAAATCGAGACCAACCTTGGTGAAGAGTCTCCACCACTGCCAGTGGCGTAGTTTCAGGTAGGCGGCACAGTTTCTCTGCAGGACTTTCAAAGCGCTTAGCTGCTGCTGTTTTTTAGCAAAGGCTCTGAGAAACACAACGGCAAAACAGCAGCAGTTCACTGTCAAGGTCTCATAAGAATACATTTTATTTCTACACTATAAACAGCAAGAGCTGCATATCACTTGTTGCCCCTTTTAGACCAGATTTAGATCAGCCATCTCCATTTGGACTCACTTGCGAGCCAGATATCCTCGACAGACTGACTGAAAGTAGATGATGATATCTGTTATTTTCAGGTCTCTCTCTTCCTCCAGGTGTGCCAAAACTCCAGTGCGGAAGAAGATCTTACTCTGCCCGATCCGGTAGAGGTTTGGGTCAAGCTCCAAGGCTCGGATCTACAGATCAGATTGTTAGATGATACTTAGTATTTAACAGATGCAAAATTTCAGATGCTGGTTTATCAATAATGGACATCAGTAAAAACTTCTATGAAAAGAGAGAATGAACATAAAATAATTAACTCTTTAAAGTGCACCTTTAATTTTACACTTATTTATATCAATTATTAAAAATTATATAAACAAATATCATTATTATGACAAATCTCTTTGGAGAGATGCATTATTGAGCTATAAGGTCTGATTCGGAAATGAAGCTTATTATTTTTGGAAGTGACATTTGGATATACCAATTTTAATTATGAAAAGAAAACAACTTAAATGTAGTGCAAATCTATCTGAAAATGATAAAAAATAAATGTTTAAAACAATTACTCCACCATTGGTATGTTTGGGTCAGTAAGATTTTTTTATGCTCACCAAGACTGCTTTTATTTGATAGAAAAATACAGTAAAAACAGTAATATTGTGAAATATTATTATTACATTTTAACACAATTATTTTCTATTTTATTATACTTTAAAAAGGTAATTTATTCCAGGTTTACTTTTCAGCGTCACATGATTCTAATGGCTAATTTGGTGTGTAAGAATTTTTTTATAATTATAATCAATGTTGAAAACAGTTGTGTTGCTTAATATTTTTGTGGAAATGGTCATACTTTTTTTTCAGGACTTTATTTTCAGGATTCTTTGATGAATGGGGTTTAAAAGAACTGTGTTTGTTTGAAATAGTAAAGAAATTGTTACAAATTTTTTTACACTTTTGATCAAATGAATGCATTCTTCATGAATAAAAGCAAACTTTTGAACAGCAGTGTTTGTTTTTACGGAAAATTTCATAATACACTGGTATTTTAACTATTTTGATTGATCAACGTCATTTGTTAGTCAACTTAAGAAATCTCACCATTCTCTCACAAGCCTGCTTGCCGTCCATAAAACCTTTGGGGATTGCATTAGGGGTGAGGATCTCGTATCTGCGAGGAAGACCGATATGAGAGTTTTCTCACTGATAAAATACAATAATATTAATGCTACAGCATCTTAAGACATATGGTGCTTCTCTACTCTTTAATGAGATATCTGAAGCACACCTCTGTCTGAACTCCTGGAAGACAATACGGTTAGGGAATCCCTGCCTGCAGATCCGGATCCCTTCTAGAACTCCATTACACCTCAGCTGATCTAGAACCAGATGAGGCTCCAGTTTACCAGCCTAGAAGAATGACAACATCAAAGAGGTGCATGATGACCACATTAAAGAAACTCTAGTCAAATACATTTTTTTTTAAAATTAAACTGAAGGACATTTTTACTTACAAATGAAGGGACAGATGTCACTTACTCTTTTCTCATGATTGGGGATGATACAGCGGACAAAGTTGGGGTTGGTGTTTCTGAGTGTGGCCATGAGTTTTGTAAGGGACTCTTTATAGAGCTGACCCACAGTACGGAACATGCCCTTCTTGGTCTTATATGTAGCCCCAAATGCAGTCTCATTCATCCCTGCCACCTGGTCCAAACCAACAATACGGTCCACTACCATGAAGAGTGAGAAAAAAGAAAGATACCAACCAGTTAGCTTGATCTTTAAAGTATTTACAGACGTATTTATAAAATAAAATAAAAAAAGAGAGAGTGACACAGCATTGCCAAATCATGTGAAGATGCAAGAGGGAAATCTACAACTAAAGCTCTAATTCAACAACACCAAGCAGAAGGTCAAAATACGCTGTGTATTTTTGCATTCTTACAAAAACCATTTAATAATAATAATAAAAAAAACTGTCCTTTGATTCCTTCAGGCCTTTAATCGTCATATCCCAAAAGAAAACCGAAAATAACTTTCAGAAAGTAGTACAGTGTATTTTGACTCAATGCCACAAGTTTAGACAGCCAATTCAAGAGCCAATGGCCCCCCTACTATGCCAGCAGGTGCAGGTCCAGTGCTAGGCAAATGGAGATATGAAACAGATGAAGAGTGCCAAGGGTAAGACCACATCTATAAACAAGCACAAGCTGCAAAAGAAAGTAAATGGAAGGGTGAACCTCAAAACCTGTCAAGATCATGTCCAGGACATACTTCACACCAATACCTTGCAGTTCATTGAGTCAGATGTTAATTCAGCAACTGCTCTCATGGTTTCATCTGACAGATTTAAACCAGTAATGCTTAACTCCTCTTGTCACCTGCTTGTGAATCAGACTACACTGATTACACTGTATGCAGCTCATATTTACAACTAATTAAATCGAATTTCCTTTGGTGTGGCGAATTTCAATGGCAGTGTGTATTTAGCAGTGCAGTGAACAGTTTATAAAAAAGTTCATTCTATTTATAAAAAAAAAAGTAAAAAATACATTTTGCTTAAATAATGGTCCTTAAAAGGCTTCATTTTAAGATGTTTCCATCAAGTACATTTTCCACTCCAATTCTTGTTACAGAATTACAGAATACAAAAAAAGTGCATTGTAAAATATTGATACATTGTGTAAGTATTTGTTGTAGTATGTTGATTTCAATAAAACAAATAATAGTTTTGCCATTATTTTTACTCTACTACAGAAATGAGATTCTAACAAGAAACAACAAAACTTCTCAAAACAAATTCAAAATAAAGCATTTGGATGCATTACAGCAATTGAAATTGAGGGAAAATGTTGTTTTTTTCTTTTGAGTGAAATATGACCCAGACATGTAAATCAAGTTCTCTCTCTAAGTAATGTTACTAAAGATGTCTCCTTTCAGCAACTGAATAAATAAATGTGAATAAATTTGCTTAGGAATAAATAAGACCCTAATCAGAAAAATTATATTCACAAATTTGAGTCTGATAACAGTGTCCTACAGCAAAACAAGTCAAACTTCAATCACTCAACACACAAGTAATCAAAAACTACATATTCTTTTTGATTTATTGGAGGCTGGTAAAGTGTAACTACTGGGGCTATATTAATAATTCTAGGTCTTGCAGCATTCCTGTAAACGTCATTCTTAAGAACCGCTTCCAAGTAATGTTCTGTTCATAATGGGCTCGTGACGTGACTTCCGTTACCTCCATGGAGAATTTACTGAGCTGTCAGTGTTGACTGGCACAGGGCTGAGCGAGTCATTTGGATTCCAGTGAAACAAGACGTGTATTGTTCCGTGTTCCCTGTCGGAGACACTACAGAATTCCTCCACCCCTCACCCAAACTCCATCTCCCTCACACAGCCTATCAAATCACCATCTGACACTTAAAACAAACAAGTTATCTGACCGCCAGAAGCAAGGGCATAAGCACCGTACCACACACACACCGCTCTGACTGCTGTAAACTAAGCTGTGTTTGAGGGAATCTCGTGAAAACCAGGTCAGGTCATATTTCACTGTGAAATATAAATTGTTGACTTGATTGCAAATGATTGCAAAGATACTATTTAAACTGAACTAAGCTGGATGATGACATCACTGAATTCAATGATGAACTGCCTTTAAAATAATATTTAGCATTAAGTCCATTTTAGGACAATGTTTTTGACAATTAAGCAAATTTTCACCCAAAACTGTCATTATCATAATGTGTCCAGACACTTTTTTTTTTTACTCATTATTACTGTTGAAAATCCTTATTACTGTACTATAGTCATTTTTTATAATAACTTGTGATTTACTGCAACGAAAATGATCTTAAAATAGCTTTATTTTATTATAAAATTTGCTTGTAGATAAATATTTAAAAAACTACATTTATAACAGACAGACAGACAGACAGACAGACAGATAGATAGACAGATAGACAGACAGACAGATAGATAGATAGATAGATAGATAGATAGACAGATAGACAGATAGACAGACAGACAGACAGATACTTATTTTCTATAAGCAAAGCATATTTCTATTTGACTTAGGGGTGAAATATGACCAGGTTTTCAGAATCACCTATTCCTTTTTCAAAACTGTCTGGACTAAAAAAATGCTATAGGTGTGGATTTAATAACGATTTGACACTTTTATAATTTTTAAAGTAATAAATTACAGGGAAAATATTTAGCAAGTGTGTGAATCAAAATTGCTGAAAGGACTCATAGAACAAGCAGGGCCCTAATCCTTGTAGCCAGCGCACCCATAGAGTCACCCAGAGTCACTTTCAAATGTTTGTTATGCAGCGTCAGTACTCTGTATTAAGTCACTATGCACATGCATTAATTTTTCATGCAATCTTCATTCATGGTCAGTTTGGGCTTCCTAATGAATCAGCCAAGTCACGCTTCCTTCCAAATGGATCCAGCTAACTCTAAAGTTAGCCAGCTAGAGGGACCAGGGCCCAGGTCTACAAGCCATGGTGGGAGTGTTTGAAAGTACACAATGCGCTGGTAAGCAGAGACCTACAGCATCATATACCTTCACCTGGCGATTCATGGAGACTAGAGACATCATAAAAAGACGCTCTTTGGATATTCTGAATCTCTATGGTCGAGAGACAGAGAAAGGGGGCAAAGGGGGGGATAAACAAGAAAAAAAGCAAAATAAAAAAGTAGTAGTAGAACACAGCTAGCACATAAAAGACATAAATGGTAGTAAACACACTGGTTAGTGCGGTGCAACACAAGTGATAATAAGCAAAAGTCTTCATTCCATTTGCACTAGTCTCTAATGCTTTTGGATATGTGTACTTTCAATTGAACATTTTAAGATCTTGCTGATCGATCTTGGCACACACATTCTATTTTGTATTTACTTCGGAGTAATTATTTTGCCACAGTATTAATAATTGTATATAAAAAGTGTATCATATTATTCATTATACAGTTATTTTGGCTGGAAATACAGTCAATGGTGAAATAAGACATACAATATTTGACACATCCCACTCTGTATTTTTGCATTATTTCATATTTCCTCACTGCTTTAATCTGTAATTAATGCAGAGCAGCCCTGCTTACAACTACAGTGCAAATATATCTGTTGTGGTATCAACAGTATTGCAAAATGTCTTGTTGGACACATTTTTATTCACACACACTGCCCAGCCCAAAGTTTGACTCTTTGCAACTGAATTAATAGTTCCCCCCACTACGTTAAAATATTTGCATCAAGCCACTGAAATGCATGACAAGCTCTTTTTACAAGACAGACAAGATGTGAAACTGAAGACTGAAAACAACAGTCTCTTTCTTCACAGACTGGGAGGGTAGAACCATAAAAACTAGCCGTTTTACGTTTCAGGGAATCTGGAAGGCACTCGAGAAGAAAACAGCTTACCATCCTTCCACAGTTCAGCCACAAACTTATCCGTGGACTGGTGCAGGAGTGTGGCCACGTTGTCATTTAGAGGGTCCATGTTTTTCATCAACCACTCATCTGCCTTATAGTCAACCTACAAAATGAGAGTAATAAACAGTAGGTTAACAACCTCAAGATGGGAAGAATGGAATTAAGCCAGGATTGGTTCAATCTGGATCGTTTAATTTAAGAGGTACTGCAGTTCAGCGGCCGTTGGCTGTTTGCATAGTGTTATGTAACTACTGAAAGTGATAAAGTATAAATCAATGCACTGTTTTTCTTTACTTAAACAACAGGAAACAAAGCAAACTCTAATTTTCTGGCTTTTAACCCAAACATAGCTCAAAGGGAGAGAAATATCAAAAGTCCCTTATTTCATGCAGTGTCAAGTTTCTATTGCAAACAGCTCACTGATCTGAAACAGATGTGGCCTATGGTTAGCACATACCACAGCTGGATGCTGCTACCCTTGAAAGACAGCAACGCAACATTTCACTGCAAGCCAGTTTGACCTGACTAAATCCAATTACATAAGGTTACGATGCATTCCTTTTTTCTTTGAAACACTAACAGGCCTTCATTACAAAAACCATCACAGGACTGAAGCACAAGAGGGGAAGCCAACAGCTATGTGTAGTTTCATTAATATAAATGCAGACGTACCCTGCCAGCATAGTGAATGATGCTGAAATCGGCTTTGTCCTTCAGCTGCCGTGGTTTCTGGAACTTGGCATGAGTGCCTTGCTCTTGCACCAGTTTGTCCACAAAGGTCTTATCAGTGGCTTTTGGAAACCAGCACTCCTCATCCAACAGAGCCAACACACCGGGAGGATTTGCCTGGGAATGGTACCATAGGACCGATCAAAACAACTTCTAGAAAAGCCAACAGAAAGCACTTTGCTTCCACAGCAACTTCAAATCACATGAAATTTTGCAAATATTTGAGGTAGAAAATAATTCTAGGAACCCAGAACAAAAATTCAAGGGCGGTGAGCGCTCACTGGTCTCTCGATGAGGTCAATGCAGGGCTGCAGGTCGAGGCCGAAGTCGATGAAGCTCCATTCGATGCCTTCACGCTGGTACTCCTCCTGCTCCAGGATGAACATGGTGTGGTTGAACAGCTGCTGAAGCTTCTCGTTGGTGTAGTTGATGCAGAGCTGCTCAAATGAGTTCAGCTGCCAAGAGATGGAGAGAGCAATAAAATATGATCAAACCGTCTTTGTCCATAGCATTTTTTAGTCCCAGAACATGCATGATAGATTCTTTCACCAACATCAGTATCTTCGATATCACTTAACTAAATACTGCAGTTATGAGTGGGTATCCAATTACGCTATTTACTGTAAACCTTGTAATTTCATCCTAACTATACCATAATTATATTACTCAATTTAGCAGATGCATCTTAACCAAAGCAAGACAGCAAGGACATCCTCCAGCACAAACTGAAGGAAAAAACCTTCTTAAGGTTTTAAGTTTTCGCTTTTTTTTTTTTAAATTACATTTTTTCCATAAATTTTTCTGGACTCTATTTTAATGGTATAATTACATCTTAGTAATCACAAAAACATGTCCAAAATTCTGTTTTCTTCTTTAGATTCCGATTTAATGGTTTAATTAAATTGTATTAATCAAAAAGCATGTCTAAACAATTGATTTCATAAAACTTTAACAATTGAATAATTACAATAACAGACTCAATTTTGTTTCAAATAATAAAGCCTATAAAATATTTTAAAATACCGTGTTGTCCGTTTTATTTTTCTGGATTAATGATTTAATACAAATTTAATTATCAAAAAAGAAATATTAACAATCCAATTAATCTTTAAAAATGCAATCAAATTAAAATTTTACAATTCCTTTTATTTTTGGCAAGCAGTGATCACAATAGAGGCTTACTACTAAAACATTAAAGTATTAAGTACTAAAACTGTAGTAATAAAATTGGAACAAAACTTAATTTTGTATTACTACCTTGAGATGTACATTCTGTGGCACAATAGTAATATATTTTTATGAACTCAATTTATTCTTAATTTTCTCCATAGAAATTATCTATAATCATAGAATTATAGAATCTTCTATAATCACTGTTTTTAATCAGTGATGAAACCTACTAATACTGTGGTATGCTTAAAATCTATGTTAAACTAAATACAATTTGTCCCATGCAATATCTTTTTATACACAACTTACAGTATGTTCAAGTTCTTGCATTGCCTGCATTTTTAGAAAACCTCATATCATATGACCTCTGATTTGTTGCAGTATAGTGATTAATATCTATGATTTAGCGTAAGAGACAGCTGAGCCAAGGAAGCCACACCTGGAATATCTCAAAGCCAGCAATGTCCAGGATGCCAATGAAGGAAGCTCCCTGGCGCTTGGTCCTGTCCAGAGCTTTATTAATGCGGTGAACAAGCCAGCGGAACAACCTTTCGTATGTGGCCTTGGCCAGGGCTTCCACTGCAAAGTCGGCCTGGTCAGAGAAACAGAGACAGGATCAGGCAAAGGGAATAAGTGACATAAACCTCACATTTACAAAAATATATGTGTTATGATATAGAATCACATTATATTAACACTATTATAGTTAATATAGTTACTATTATTATACACTATTTAACACAGATACAAAAGTAGGGTTGGGTTTCGACAACCGGTTTCATTTTAGAACCACTTCCACTTTTTCTAAAAAATCGGAGTCAATAGGACACGTTTCTTTTTTATTGGAATCCATAAGCAGAATCCGTATTGCTGAAATTCAAATATCCAACCCTAAAAATGGTAAGCAAAACCTGAAATGACCCTTCTAGTGGAATTATTTTCCGAACAGGTTTCCCAAACACTACTCCCTCTGCAGAATTTGTTCAGTTATGATGACATTTTAATGACAGGAGACTAGCAGCCTATTGTTGTAAAAGGACAGAGGTGAAAAGGAAATGTGAATAGAACAAAAGTACAGCAATGGTCTACAATCAGGCCTGACAAGATTCAAGAGATAAAACACTAAATGAAAACATTGCTTTACAGCTGAAAGGGTGGGTGATTTGACAGATATACAGTGGAAAACCTAATAGCTCATTACCTGCTCTTTAGTTTGGGCTTTTTGTACATAGTCTCTGCCCACTTTGATTCTTGGAGACAGGATGGCACGTGTGAACTCCATGACATTAATGCCAAGCAGGTGGCAAAGCTTTTGAGCAGCTGAAAAACAGAAAATACACACTTGTTCACAAAATGGTCCTCTAATGCAAGCCGACCAAAAATGGTGACATTCTTTTTCGATTTATAGGATTTTAGAAGTATCCCTTATGCACTTAAATGGTGGTGAGAAGTTATTATGGGACATTTTTGCTCATGAATATAAGAGGTATTTCAAATAAGTCAGGTCGTTATTGCAATTTACTGACTTCTAAACTCCTACAGCCCATTTAGCAGCCAAACAAACCCCAAGAGTTCCCCCTCAGGACCACCAGCACGACTATAACTTTCCAGCTTCAAGTCATGAATGACTTGGTGGCTTGAACAGATGAAAGTTTCAATATCATACCATGAACGGTGATGATAAAAACAAATGAATCAAAATGCCAGTGGAGTAAGCTTGCTGGAATGCATCATGACGGTAAAACGGTCACTTTTGGGGCTCTTACGTAAACACGTTCGATTTAACGCAACTTAGCACAACTATTCCGGTATTTTCTTTTAATATGAAACGTATCCAAAAACCATTCAAACTGTCATCATGGGAGCCCAAGAGAAGTCCAACGGGTAATTTGTCAAAACAGAACAGTGGAGAACTGCACAAAAACATCTGGTGCAGGGGTTAGATTGGAGGGTAGTGTGGATACCGAACACACTTTCATGCTAATGCACTGCCAAAGGATTTACTGAGTTATTTAAGTACTTCACATAATACATTAAATTTCCATTACTGAAAAAAAGAAACGTTATCTCAGTGCTAAAATAAGGCATTATGCATTTCTGAAACTTTGTAAAACAGATGAGTACCTGTATTTTCTGGCATAGAGGCCTGGTCGGTGTTTCTCTCCTTCTTGAACACAATGTTGCCAAACTGCAGGACTGCTGAGACCACCTTGAGCATTGCTGCAGTGACGAAGAAAAAAAAGGACAAGAGCGTCAACAGTATGTGGGTAGTTGACCCGAAATATTTTTGGAAGGTCGATTTCCGGCAGTATGGCATGCTTATACTCCATTTAAAACTATTTTAACCAGCATTTCGTTCATTCTTGTATACTTATTAGGGACGTCAAACAGTTGCAACATTTAATAAAGATTATTCCTTATTTTTTTCATATTCATCATTTTCAGTTTCATTTGAGAGGTTCAAATATTTCAGTGGATGAGGTCTATATGATGAAACTGGACGGGTAGATTTATGCAGGAGTTTTATTACCTAAAAACAAACATTTCTGAATTGCATCAAATTGCAAAGTAAATGTAATATAATTTGATTCGACAAAATATTAACTTAAAATAAAATAATACCAATCCGTTATGGACTTAATCATACATAAAATTATGCTGGCCTGCAATGCTCTGCTGATTTTTGCAATTTCGATGAATAACAATGTTTTACTCATGGCTTAATGAGCTTCAATAAGAATTACATTTTACCAAGAGAATGGAGATAACTTCGATTAAACATCCCACTTGGGTTTAATTTATACTGTATATAAATAATCTGTTTAAAAAAAGAACGAAAAGGTTAAATTGTGTGCTAAATTGTTAGTGTTTAAACAAATTTAATTCAACTTTGTGTTAACTGCATGCCTTAAAATAATAATAGGGTTGTCAAGGTTATCAACTCATTAATGGAGACTACATGAGACTCTTGTACTGTAAATTCACTGACCATTTTGAATGCAACAGTGAAGGCAAAAAGGTGTGCAATACCCATTTCTGATGATTTACTAGTATGCATATATAAAACAGCAGGAAATATACAATGTAGTAGAAGTAGGTTTGTTTCATGTATGCTTACATAAGATTTCATCATGGGAGAAGCTCATAATATGCATGGCTTCCATGGTCTCTTGGAAATTGTCCTTGTCCTGTTGGCCAGGAATGGGAATGTTACCGTTGGAGAGGAAGCGGTAGTCATTGAAGCCCTCCAGGAGTAGATCAGCTGCCAGAAGAACAAGAGCATTAACACAACTGCAGTCTTCTCTAGACAGCAGACCGCACCATACTCTCCATAATCAGTCTAATTCCTTCACATGTTGAGAATATTCAAAGCCTGCTTCATTACATCCATGTTGACCTTGCACTTCAATCTCATTGCTAAAAACTGACTAAAAAAACTTAACCATGTAAAAAGAAATACTCACATCTTAGATGTTCTCCAGCACCAGCCAACAGCTGGTAGAAGACATGGAAGGTGCGTTCATCTTTGGCTTGGCGAATAGCCCTGGACTTTTCAAGAAGGTCTTTAGACTAAGTTAAGGGCAAGCAAAGTCCATTTGACAGCTAATTTTTCAGTCTACGTCAAATCAAACCTGTTCGGATTTTCATAGCACTTTATTTAAATTTAATAAAACTAATATACAAACATTAGAGTTTGTTTGATTTGATTTTTATTTGTAAAATACTAAATAATACTTTTAATAATACCCTTACTTCTACTGAAAAATAAAGACACACAGAAATTCACCCATTTCAGGCATTTGATCTTGCAGCTATTTGCAGCATTGCTCAAATGGAATGGAATGGTTATCAGATCAGGATACAGGTTTCAATGTTGGCCCCCACAATGTAACCGGTTACATCAAAGTTGATGCGGATGAACTTGCCCTGTGGAAAGACAAATATTTAAGATGTGTTTTTTTTTTCCATGACGTGCTTATACTGGTCATGCTTTATAAACCATACCGTTGCATCATAGCTATCATTATATATGGGTCTAATCAACATTTCTAAGAATATATTTGAGCAGATGATCATCCACTACTATTTGGACAAAGGGGCTTGTGCATGCATGATATGCAGCGCATGTTTAAAAAGCTCTACTTGAAAGGAATCTGTTCTCAAAGCATGCGTAAAAGGCTAACAGACATGCTTATTTGCAGCAAATGCCCCCAAAATAATTACCTAAAGGAAGGCCTGAAGAATCAAATTCCTCTGTGGCTTTTGATCTGTTTGTATGCTTTAAAGCTTTCTGCTGACTTTGACGCATGCCAGCGAAAACTCAATCAGCTGACAAGAGGAGCCGATGCAAGACAGACGGCTACTTCTCTCAGATGGCTGAACGTGGATTTTAGTGAGTGTGTACCTAAACGGCCCTTTCCAGATGCTACGTGCATAATGTAATAAATGTCATTGTACAGTAATAAATAAACATAATCAGTAAACATAAATGTCATTGCCAAAATGTAACAAGAATGCAATAAAATGCTGTGGCAATGTTTAAAGGGGTCATATGATGCGATTTCATTTTTTCCTTTCTCTTTGGAGTGTTACAAGCTCTTGGTGCATAAAGAAGATCTGTAAAGTTGCAAAGACTAAAGT